AAAAAAAAAAAAAAAAAATTAGTTATAGGCCAGGCACGGTGGCTCATGCCTGTAATCCCAGCATTGTGGGAGGCTGAGGTGGGTGGGTCACTTGAGGTCATGAGTTTGAGACCAGCCTGTCCAATACAGTATCTCTACTAAAAATACAAAAATTAGCCAGGGATGGCAGTGCATGCCTATAATCCCAGCTACTTGGGAGGCTGAGGCAGGAGAATCCCTTGAACTTAGAAGGTGGAGGTTGCAGTGAGCTGAGATTGTGGGCCACTGCACTCCAGCTTGGGCAACAGAGCAAGACTCTATCTCAAAAAAAAGAAAGAAAAAGTTATCATCCAGGCATGGTGGCTCTCGCCTGTAATCCCAGCACTTTGGGATGCTGAACTGGGTGGATCCCTTGAGCTCAGAAATTTGAGACCAGCCTTGATAAATTCCATCTCTACGAAAAATACAAAAAAAGCTAGACATGGTTGTGCAAGCCTGTTGTCCCAGCTACTCAGGAGGTCAAGGTTGGAGGATCACTTGCGCCCGGAAGGTTGAGGATGTGATGAGCTGAGATTGCGCCACTGCACTCCAGCCTGGTTGATAGTGAGACTCTGTCCCAAAAAATAACTAAATAAAAATAAATGGCCGAGCGCGGTGGCTCATGCCTGTAAGCCCAGCACTTTGGGAGGCCGAGACGAGCGAATTATGAGATGAAGGCATCGAGACTATCCTGACCAACATGGTGAAACCCTGTCACTACTAAAAATACAAAAATTAGCTGGGTGTGATGGCACGCACCTTTAGTTCCAGCTACTTTTGAGGAGGCTGCGGCAGAAGAATCACTTGAACCCAGAGGGCAGAGGTTGCAGTAAGCCGAGATCGTACCACTGCACTCCAGCCTGGTGACAGAGTGAGACTCTCAAATAAATACAGTGGCTCACACCTGTAATTCTAGGACTTTGGAAGGCCAAGGCAGGAGGATTGCTTGAGACCACTGTGGGCAACATGGAGAAACCCCATCTCTACTAAAAATACACGAATTAGCCAGGTATGGTGGCTCCTGCTTGTGGTCCCAGGTACTCGGGAGGCTGAGTGAGGCAGGAAGATTGCTTGAGCACAGGAGGCCAGAGTTGCAGTGAGCCGAGATCCTGCCCCTGCACTCAGCCTGGGAGATCAAGTGAGACCCTGTTAAAAAAGAGAAAAAAGAAAAGAGAAAAGTAAAGAGAAGAAAAGAAAAAAGAAAAACCTACTTAGTAGGGTTGCTGTGCAGGTTACACAAAACAAAAGCATCTTCACCAAGCCTTAGGCCATAGAAAGGTCTTTCGTTTGTTTGTTTGTTTTTTGAGTTGGAGTCTCATTCTTGCCTAGGCTGGAGTGCAGTGGCCTGATCTCTGCTCACTGCAACCTCCATCTCCTGGGTTGAAGTGATTCTCCTGGCTCAACCTCCCAAGTAGCTGGGATTACAGGCCTGCTACCACCCTTGGTCATGGCCTCAAGTGAGCCACACTCGGCCATAGAAAGGTCTTAATAAAGCTGGGCGCAGTAGCTCGCCTGTAATCCCAGCACTTTGGGAGGCCGAGACGAACGGATCACGAGGTCAGGAGATAGAGACCATCTTGGCCAACGTGGTGAAACTCCGTCTCTACTGAAAAAAAAAAAAATTGGCCGGGCATGGTGGCACGCGCCTGTAGTCCCAGCTACTTGGGAGGCTGAGGTCGGAGAATTGCTTAAACCCGGGAGGCAGAGGTTGTAGTGAGCCGAGATCGCGCCACTGCATTCCAGCCTGGCAACAGAGCAATACTCCCTCTCAAAAAAAAAAAACAAAAAATAAAGGACTTAATACGTGTTAATTGCTATTACTGACCCCAGGAACTCTCCGAAGCACTTATCATGCAGGTATCACCTTTTTTTTTTTAGCACTTACATTATGCCTTATGGGAAACAGCAGCTTAGAGTTGTCAGGAAATTCCTCCAGAGTCGCTTACATTTCCAGCAGGGGAGTCAAGACTTGAACCTAGCAACTCACAAGCAGAAAAAGCTTGGCAAACAGGCATGGGTTAGATAATGCTTAGGGCTTGCTCAAGGACTCGTGGCCAGTTACTGATCTATGCAAATCTTCTGATTGCAAATTGATAGGTGGATTGTAACTTGAAAGGTCTGATAAGATGTAAACTTCATAAAACAGGATTTGGGAAGTAAAAGGCGTAGAGTCCTCCAGAGGAGTCGAGAAAGCTAGCTTGGCCTCGATGGTGGATGAGGTGATTCTTTCATTTAGGCGTTATTTTCCTCATCTATGAGTGCGGGAAGGAGAGTTATTGGGGTCTCTAGCGACCTTTCCAACACTGATTTTCAAGGGTGGAAGAATCCTGCTCAGGTAAAGGCCCAAATCCCTTGGCTAAGGTTAATCCTCGGTGGGGCCGCCAATAGGGACGCGTCCCCTTTAAGGCGCCAGCTCGCCAGCGGCGGCGGCCGGAAGTGTTGAAGCCCGGCCTGGCGGCGGCGGTGGCGGTAGCTGCCGTGGCGGCCTCTGCGCATGCTCCGTCGCCCGCCCGCCCTGGCTGCTCGCCGCCCGCCCGCCCGACGGAGACGGTGAGGAGGGGGAGGGGTGGGCGCGCGGGCGCGGGCGCGGGGTGGGGTGGGGGTGGGGACGGGGGGGCGGGCGCGGGGGCCGCGCGGCGGCCGGCGAGGGCGGGCGGGCGCGCAGGGGGCGGGGGGCTGCTGCCTCCGCGGGCGCCTCCCCACGCCCTGTGCGTGCCGCCGCCGCCGCCGGGGAGCGAGCGGACGTCGCGGCGCCGCGGGGGGGTGGGGGGACGCTGCCGCTGGGTCCGCCCGAGCAGCCGGGCCGCCCCCAGCGCAGCCGGCCGTGCTGCCCGGGCTCGGGCCCCAGGCCAGGGCGGCGGGAACCGGCAAGCCCAGCACGGGGGGGGGCCCCGGCGCCCCCGGACCGAGGGGCCCGGAAGTACTCGGTTGAGGGGCCAGGAGTGGCCGGAGTGACTCCGGACTGAGAGGCCGGAGCGCCCAGGACCCCAACGAGGGGTCCAGGGAGCCTGGGGTATCTCCAAAGGCGGGGTCCAGGGAGCACCGGGCCCTTGGATGAGGATCTGGTTAGAGGCCTGGGTCCCGCCCGGTGGGAGGGGGACGATAGGTGAGGGAAGCCCGAATGCCCGCCTGGGAGGAGACCCTCTGGGAGGTTTGGTCGGGGAGCAAAGAGTACGGAGTGGGTTCTTCTGAGGAAAGCAGAGTCCAGCTTCTTCCGAGGGGCGCAGTGGGGGCCTCGGCCATTCAGAACAAGGGGAAAAAAAGGCAGGTTCTTTTCCAAAAGCAGGGAAGGAAGAGGAGCTCCAAGGGGTAGTGAGCAGGCCCAGGTCTCCCTACAGATGAGCGTGTGGTGGGAAGACTCCTAGAGCCTCCTGAAGTATGAAAGAGCAGGGGTCCAAACCTCAGGGGATGGAAGAGACTGGAGTACCTCCTGATGTCTAAGGGGAGAACAGAGTAACCTGCCAGCTCAGGGGATGGAGAAACCTATCTTTTTGAGAGAAGTAGAGATCGTTGAGGGAAGACGCTTAGGGTTTTCCCGCCTTCTGAAATGGCGGGGGAACCGGCCAGGTGTTACCTAATTGAGGGGCAGGATAGATGAAGGCAGTCTCAACCCGAGGGACTTGAAGATGATCCACCAGACATGTGAGCGAAACCTTGACCTAGACAGCAGAGCAAGCACAGCCCTAAATTCTCTTCAAGATAAGAGAAGTCTCAAAACCACTTCCTAGTAGACGCAGATGGGGCCTTGACTGGTGTCTATTCAGGCGAATCAAGACGGGTGTTAGGAAGAGACTGTCAGATATGATTCTAGTCTTGAGGGATTGTCTTCTTCCCCCTTGCCTCTGCTACTAGTTACCAAAGTGCATTTGGGGAACCTTTTCCAATGGTTGTACTGTCTTCTAATTTGAGAGCCTTAAATCAAGGGTGTATATTTAATATCTTAAATGATGATTTTTTTTTGAGGCGGGGGTTCCTGTTTACTTCAGCAAACACATTGAATAGGTAGCTTCTACTCAGCTTCGTTGGGTTTATCGGAGGGGGCGTATTTTGGTCTTGCCCTAAGCCAAAGTCCACTGTACTGTAGCGGGATGACTCTCATAAGAACATCCCATTGCTCCCTCAAACATTCACATAGTAGTCTCCAGTCTGTGACTTAGAACTTCACCTCCTCTGAATACTTCTCTCAATGTTTTTGTGTAATTGACTTGTTGACTAAATTACATCTTGCATTCTGGATCGCTCACTGAATACATGAGAAGAAATAAAGGGGATATCAAGGAGTTTTAGCCTCAAGTAATAAAGTTTTGACTTCGATTTTTTCCCCCCTTATTTTAAACAAAACCATAGTTTAAAGTGGAAATTTCTTATTTCTTTTTCTTTTTGGGAATTTCTTTTTCTTTGTCACCTAGGCGGGAGTGCAGTGAGTGGTGCGATCTCGGCTCACTGCAAACTTGATCCTCTTACCTCAGCCTCCTCAGTGGCTGGGACTACAGGCCCGTGGCACCGAGCCCGCCTAATTTTGTTTGTTTTCGGGCGGGTGCTGTGAGCGGCCTCCTCGGCCTTTCCTCAGCTCGAGTTCTAGACCAGCTTGGGTAACATGGTGAAACCCCATCTCTACAAAAAATAACAAAAATTAGTCAGGTGTGGTGGCGCTGCTGTTGGTCCCAGCTACTCAAGGAGGCGGGAGGATCGCTTGAGCCCCGGAAGTTGAGGTTGCAGTGAGCCGAGAGTGTGCCAGCATTCTCCAGCCTGGGTGGCAGAGTGAGACTTACGTCTCACCAAAAAACTGCACAGTCTACAAAAGTTATAATAGAGTGTGGAATAAAATATTGTGGGCCAATCGCGGTAGCTTAGCATGGCGGCAGATGCCTGTAAACCCACTTACTTGGGAGGCTGAGGCAGGAGAATCGCTTCAACCCGGGAGGCGGAAGTTGCAGTGAACTGAGACCGTGCCGTTGCATTCCAGCCTGGGCAACAAGACCGAAACTCTGTCTCAAAAAAATATTAAATAAATATTTTGGAGTTAGAAAATTTCAGGATATCTCGTACCTATTATTCATTTTTATTTTTTAGCCTCCAGAAAGTGCCAATATTATTATTATTATTATTATTATTTTTAATTTTGAGACAGAGGCTTGCTTTGTTGCCAGGCTGGAGTGCAGTGGTGCAATCTCACCTCACTGTAACCTCCGCCTCCCATGTTCAAGCCATTCTTCTGCGGCAGCCTCCAGAGTAGCTGGAACTACAGGCATGTGCCACCACGCGTGGCTAATTTTGTATTTTTGGTAGAGATGGGGTTTCTCCATATTGCTCAGGCTGGTCTGGAACTCCTGATCTTAAGTGATCCACCCACCTTAGCCTCTTAAAGTGCTAGGATTACAGGTGTGAGCCACTGCACCTGGATGATTCTTTTTTTTTTTTTTTTTTTTTTTTTTTTTATACAATTTTTTTTTTTTTTTTTTTTTTTTTTTTGAGACAGAGTTTCACTCTTGTTACCCAGGCTGGAGTGCAAGGGCGCGATCTCGGCTCACCGCAACCTCCGCCTCCTGGGTTCAGGCAATTCTCCTGCCTCAGCCTCCTGAGTCGCTGGGATTACAGGCATGCGCCACCATGCCCAGCTAATTTTTTGTATTTTTAGTAGAGACGGGGTTTCACCGTGTTGACCAGGGTGGTCTCAATCTCTTGTCCTCGTGATCCACCCGCCTCGGCCTCCCAAAGTGCTGGGATTACAGGCGTGAGCCACCGCGCCTGGCCGATTTTTGTGTTTTTAATAGAGACAGGCTTTCACCGTGTTGGCCAGGATGGTCTCAATCTTTTTACCCTGTGATCTGCCCACCTCAGCCTCCCAAAGTGCTGAGATTACAGGTGTGAGCCACGGTGCCTGGCCAATGTTGTTTCTTTTTAATTACCACTTCCAGTGTCCCTCCCTGCATTCATGACATTTGTTTTTATTCAAACATAGCATCTTGCCACATTTTAGACATTGGATTTTCAGGGCACTCAAAAATGAATTTTTTTCATTTAATTTCTGAGTGGGTCACAAGTAATTTGTTGAGCTTTCTGGTAGCTATATGAGCAGTGATGTGCTTAGTTTCAAGGTGTCTTTTTTGTCTTTGAAAATAACTACAGGCTGGGCACAGTGGCTCATGTCTTTAATCTCAGCACTTTGAGAACCCGAGGTGAGAGGACTGCTTGAGCCCAGGAGTTTGACACCAGGCTAGGCCACATAGCAAGACCTCACATCTACAGAGAAATAAAGAAATTAGGCCGGGTGCGGTGGCCCAAGCCTGTAATCTCAGCACTTTGGGAGGCTGAGGTGAGTGGATCATGAGGTCAGGAGTTCAAGGCCAGCCTGGCCAACATGGTGAAATCCCATCTCTACTAGAAATACAAAATATTAGCCAGGCGTGGTGGTGGGCACCTGTAATCCCAGCTACTTGGGAGGCTGAGACACAAGAATCGCTTGAACTAAGGAGGCAGAAGTTGCAGTGAGCCGAGATGGCGCCACTGCACTCCAGCCTGGGTGACAGAATGAGACTATCTCAAAAAAAATAAAAGCAAGTTTAAATTAAAAAAAAAAGAATTCCAGAGAGAGTTGTATGATTTCACAATGAATACTTTAAAGCCCCTTCATAAAATACTCAAAGGATCAACTCACTCATTTTGCCTCAGGTGTTTTTGTTGCTATAAACAAGAGCTACTTTTCCATTTACACTTAGCTCAGAGATGACCTTGCATTCAGGCAGTGTAGTCTGTAGAGCTGGTTTTGGGTTACTTGCAAGGAATATGGTATTTAGGGTAATAAGTGATACTCAACCCAAACTTGCTTCTCTAAAGAAAGTCAGAATTGTCGTGTCGAATCAGACCCGTGACTTAGAATGACACTGAAAGATGTATTGTGGATGATTATAATTATCCTCTGATAAATTCTCAGAAGGCTAGAGAAGCAGCCAAAACATTCCTCTTGCGTGCTAAGGTATGGTATGGGTAAAGAGTAAAATATGAGTTCCTGTTGAGGAAGATATTAATGAAGAAGTTAGTCAACCACCTATTCAGAATGTTGTAGAGGGGACTTTCCTTAGGGTTGAAAGTTGAAATTAGAAGCATCCTTCTAAATCTGTTTCTTTAGTCATTTAATAATCCATTATTTTGCCTCAGGTATTACACGTTGAGTGTCCCTAATCTGAAAATCTGAAACCTCAAATCTCCAGAATCTGAAACTTTTTGAGCCAACATGATGACATAAGTGAAAAATCCCACAGATTAGTAGTTAATATAGACTCTTTTGTGCACAAAATTATTTTTATTATTATTTGAGACTGAGTTTCGTTCTTGTTGCCCAGGCTGGAGTGCAATGGTGAGATTTCAGCTCACCAAAACCTCCGCCTCCCGGGTTCAAGCAATTCTCCTGCGTCAGCCTCCAAAATAGCTGGGATTACAGGCATGCGCCACTACGCCCGACTAATTTTGTATTTTTAGTAGAGATGGGGTTTCTCCATGTTGGTTAGGCTGGTCTCCAACTCCTGACCTCAGGTGATTTGCCTGCCTTG